TTTTACGTAAATATGCTTTCTAAAATACGTGTAATGTACAGAAATATTAAAAATTATGAGAAGTTTTGGTAATACAGGATAAATAATTTGAATGTAGCCCAGTTACAAACAATGTTACGTTTTTTCTTAGGGACCGAGCTCCTCTTCTCAGCAAAGTAAGCAAATCTCTTACCCCCCCCTCCCATGCCTACGTAAACATTTTGGCACATGGTACAATTTGAAGCAAGTGTTGGCTTTCACGCACATGTTCTCAATATCATTTAATGTCTGGAAAATCAGGAAGATCTGGCTCGCCTGACCCAATATACTTTGCAGTAGTAGCATGATAATCATTAATTTCAAATGATCTCCATACCTCTGCTAATACATTTTCGGCAAACTCGACATTATCTTGGTAAATATTCAAATATAATGTCACGTTCATCCAAATGAGACCCAATATGGTCACTAGGCAATATCAAACAAGCCAGTTCCCGACTAAGAGAAGCCATTCGTTCTGCGCTCTACTCGGTTATACAAGTTTCTACCAGGAGCATTAATTTGCTGTAGCTAAGGTTCAAAGCGAGTAAGCGTGTCCTTATTTGAGGAATCTCTGGAGATGCGTTTCGCTTTCGAGCATAGACAAGCAGGATTGCTATATGCGTTCAAATTAATATCGACTAAACTTTGTAAAAAATCTGAAAATAAACATTGCTGACGTAATCACCATCCCTCATGACAACATAAATAAATATAGCGAAGACACCTCCTACCCCCTTCAGTGCTTACGTATGGTCCTATAAATGAGTTGCACATGTTTGCATGAATTTTAAATTAATATAAAATTTACTTACGTATGATATTGTGCTTGTAGGAAATTGAATTCTTCTTTTATCCTTTCTAATGTATCCGCTATTGTAAACTTTAGTTGACCACCCTGAGGTGGAGGACCCTGTAAGAAAAAAGGAAAAAATCTATCAAAAAGAAATCTCTCGCTAACAAATGCGGCAATGTCTAGAACCGCCTGGGGTAAGCATTCTCGATACCAAAGACGTCCAGCTTCTACAAAGCGATAAACGAGCATGAAGTTATTTGTTGTTTTGGATGTACATACACGTCACCCTTCTGGGTGGGTTTTCGAAGTCGTTTGGCGTTTTCGGGGCGACGACACACAAATTTAAATAAATGCATATCATGAGAAGTTTGCTACATTTTATGCTCACTTAATCATTATTCAAGCTTCTTTCTTTAGCAGGTAACTGTAACAGACTGCATCTCAGATGTAAAAAGATTTGTTTTTTGGACGTCTTCCTTACGTAGCTGTTTATCCATTTCAGAATCGTTTTGGAAATATTAAATAACCCTTGTAAGTAACGATATAAAATTCAGATATTTTGGGATATAATGAATTAATAAGACGATCCAACATTTCTATACTTTGTAAGTGCCAAGGAGTACTTCAAGGCAAAATCTTTATAAGCCATATTAAGTGATAAATAAATACAACCTCTTGTCGTTATTTTACATAGTAGTTTAAAGGCGGAGAGCTTGAAGTAACATATAATGTACAAATCATCCCATAAATAAGCATTTTTTTGAGCCACGTATTATAATATTAGGGGTCCTGTTGGCCCAAAACATGAATTCAAATGAAAAAAGTGAAATTTTCATAAAATACTAAGAAATAGCGAGTTTATGCATAAAAAAGTGAGTTAATTTTCTGAGAAATATACAGGGTGATTGGAAATTCGACCTATTCTCTGAAAGTGGTGATTCTAGAGGTTATTTGTGATAAATTAATCCCCATCAACTGGGGGGTCGGAAATGAGCGGTTTCCTAGATATCGGCATTTCAAGATTTTTTAAGAATTTTGTGCTTACTGAACAATACAATTCTTTTTTAAAAAATCTACTCATTTCTTGGAACTGATTGATGGATTTCTGAGAGCTGTGGAACTAGCAAATAATTTAAATAAAAATGATATACCAAAAGTTTGAAACTGTTAGAAATAAAAGGCTATTAATGAAGAGATTTTCATTTGTGTTTATTATTTCCGAAAATCAACATAAGTCATTTGAAATAAAATGTATGACAGTCGACGTACAAATTACAAAATTAATTACAGAATTTCATAAACTTTTATCAATCAATCAATCAATTCTTTATTCATGTCACAATACATAAAATATGTTTACATAAGTCAGTAGATCAAATGAGAATTGCATTAGAATTAAAACAAAGCGAGTGCTAATGATCATAAAAAATTACAAACAAGTACACCAGCACTCAAAGATATAACGCTAACATAACATATTCAGATTTATAGTTAAAATTTATGTCTTAAAAACTCTTCAAACGTGTAAAATGAGTTATTAATAAGAATTTTCTTGATTTGAACTTTAAAATCTTTAAACGGAAGCGATTTTAAGCCATCTGGAAGTACATTAAAAAATTTGACCGCCCAATAACCAGGTCCATCTTGACACCTTCTCAGTCGCCAATAAGGAGGTACGAGATTGTTCTTATGCCTAGTATTGTGCTCATGGACGTCCCCATGAGTTACATAGTTAGAGTTTCTTTTAACGAATAGTAGATTTTCAAAAATATATAAACAAGGCACAGTAAGGATTCCCAACTTGACAAAGGTATCTCTGCAATCGTCCCTGTAGCCCAGACGGCTCACAACCCTAACTGCTCTTCTTTGCAAGGCGAACAGTCTATGGATCCCTGAAGAATGCCCCCAAGCCAGAATGGCGTAGGATATATGTGAATGGCAAATGGCAAAGTAAGCCATTCTCAATATTTCTACAGAAACACAAGAAGACAAACTCCGTAGCACATATATACCTTTGGTGGCCTTTCCAGCAACACTGTCAATGTGAAGGCCCCATTGCAATCTTGGATCCAAAGTAACCCCCAGAAAACTTGGCTTCACCAACCAAATCACTGTCTCCAGGCAGGCTTCGCATGGAGAACACCATTCTCTTTGTCTTATCTTTATTTAGCAACAGCTTATTGGAGCAAAACCACAGCTCAGCCTCATCCTGCGCAGCCAGAGACTGTGCCATTGAGCGCTCAAAACTGTTAGCGGTGTGAGAGACGGTCGTATCATCCGCGAACAGAGTAAAGTTTGCAATATTGTTATTGAGAGGTAAATCATTTATGTAAGTTAAAAAAAGAATTGGGCCCAAGATGGAGCCCTGTGGAACGCCAATATTAACACTTCGCTCCGCTGATGTCACTCCATCACATCTCACCACCTGAGTTCTATTACTAAGGTAAGACTCAATTAGTTTAATGGAATCATAACTAAAGTTGTAAGCAAGGAGCTTTTTTAAAAGGATGTCATGGCTCACACAATCAAATGCCTTACTAAGATCGCAGAAAAGAACCGTGTTATACCCTCCTCCATGGAAAGCATCAATTATAGAAGAAATCAGGTTAAGTACACCCATAACAGTGCTCTTACCCTGGCGAAAACCAAACTGATATTGTGAAAATAATTCATTTTCCTCAAAAAAGGTTACCAGTCTCAAAGCCATACATTTTTCAAAGATCTTAGAGATAACTGGAAGAAGGGATATAGGTCTGTAGTTCTCTGGTGAATCAACATTGCCGTTCTTAAAAATAGGTGTGACACTAGCTCTCTTTAGAACAGTTGGAAAAATATTTTCTCTAAGACAAATATTAATCAGTCGTGTTAGAGGGATCAAAATTATGTTCTTTATACATTTTACAATTTTTAAATTGAAACCAAAAATATCTTTACTGTTTTTATTTTTGAGATTATCTATTACATCGCGAACTTCGTTAAATGTGACTTCAGAAAAAAAAAACAGAGGGATGTGATTTACTATAATACCTGCTATGTTACAAAAAAAATTATTAAAGTCATCAGGTGACAGGTCACTGCTCCCAGGGCACTTATTACTCTTACCTCTTTTTTTGTTAATGATATCCCACATGGTTTTAGCAGGATTACTTGAGCTCTTTACAAGGTTGTCATTAGCATTTATCTTAGCTTTTCTTATTTTATTTCTATAATAGATTTTTGTAGTTTTTATAATACTGGTCACTCACAAAACCATACTGCCCTTTCATCTCTCTCAAAAACCTCAAATGTTCCCTCATTGCCCTTAGCTCGGTATTAAACCAGGAAATATTATTGCCCTGGTCGGATCTTACCACATAAGTTTTCTTTGGAAAAGAGTATGTATAGGCTTCTTGAAGAATATCCATGAAGTGGCTAAACTTTTGTTCACCGCTGGTACTATCAACAGTAATGAAATCTCAAGATATCTCCGACAACCTACTGTGTAACATAAACAAACCTCTTTGTGTTACTGGTCTATACATTTTTTTATTTCGAGTAAAACCTGTGGTTTCACAACCAAGAAATTTAACCAGCTGACCTTTATGATCTGATATTCCAATATCACATACCCGAGAGCCACACAGCTCCATCGCACTACTAAGGAAAACATTGTCAAGACAGGAGTCCCCACGAGTTGGTTCAAAGATTGTTCTTTCTAAGCCAAAGCTAGCGAGAAGGTCACACAATTTACTTGTATTAACATCTAATGTGTTGAAACTTACATTGAAATCCCCAGCAAGAATAATTTGCCTATTCGTACTCAATTGTATTAATATTTCCTCCATTGATTCCAAGAAGGTATCAAAATTCCCTGAAGGAGATCTGTAAATAGTTAAAACATAAACATTCAGACTCTGACAATAAACCACACAGTACTCAATACATTTCTCAATATAAAAGGCAGGATTAATACTTATAACACATGAATTAAATTTATTTTTGGTAAAATTTGCAGTTCCTCCACCTGTGAAGTCCTTCCGTTCAGAAGACGCTCTCATCATGTATCCCTGCAAATGGACAACTTCCATTTCTTCTTTGGTCAACCAATGTTCTGTCAGGCACAGTACATCAATGTCCTCATCAACAAGAAAGGCTTCCAACTCATCTATTTTTCTTCTTAGGGATCTCACATTTATATGCAGAATCTTTACTTCCTGCTGTTTAGGTTTTCCTTTACCATATTTTGGCGCTGCAGGTTCCGAAAATGGTTTATTAGGATGCCCCTTGGCCACAGATCCGGACATAAATATTTATCAATGTCATCATGAGGAACAGTAAGTCGAAATGAGCTGCAGTACTTTTCTTTCTTGGTTTTCATTTTTTCGCAGGTGTATTCATTAAAGTTGTTTTCTTTCAGAAAATTTTTCACGCTTTCGCTGGTAACTTCTGGTGCCAGGCCAGATAAAAACAAAGATGATACTCTGGATGCTGGTCTAAGGCTGCATATATTTACATTGGAGCCTCTCAAAGGTTCAGGTCGACTGGATTTATCAACAGGTCTGTTTCTGACCGAGATTTTATTTTTATTTCGGTTTCTAACCTCTACCCATTTGTCTTCTTCTGAATTCACGATGACAGGGGAGTTGGCCGCAGGCAGCGCGCCACTGTCGTCAACTGGTTCAGCACTAAGATTTTCCAGAATTACGATTTCGTTGTTTGCAACCGCATTATGGATTTTGCGAGGTTCCTCGTTAGATGTCACTGAATCCGATGGATGTTTGATATTTTCGTATTGTTGGACCTTTTTGTTTAGGTAATCAACTCTATCTTCAAGGAAATGCACCTTTTCTCTCAAAAGTTGACTGTTTTCTTCCGCGATTCGATTTTTGCTTTGCAGTTCTTTCACCAGCGTTCTTAGAACATCCAACTCCGTTGAATCTTCACAGAGCAGCATGTTTACACTCTCTCTTCTAACCTTGCTTGATTCGTGCATACAATTGGTATTTTTCAACTCGCCTGCCTGCTCCAGACAAGCAGGATGAAACGAGTTATTACACTTTTTGCACTTCACTACGTTCACAACTTTTTTTTTACAGTGTAGGCACAGTATGATGTTCTTTTTTTCATTCTTTTTAAGAGACGAATTTTCAGACGACTTCTCACTTTCCGCCATCTTCCGCCAACCGGAGAGAGACAGTACAAATTTAACTTTTTCAGGCATATCCTGGAAAAAACCGTACGAAGGGTACTGTAGGTACAACTAAATTTTTTAATTAAATGAGCTCGGTAAAGTTTGAAATCTAATTATTTAAAGAAAAACATGTACTTTATAAAGAATTAATGAAAGAAATACAACGTGGTACTTAAAAACTATAAACCTTGTTCAAATTGCCTGCCACTGTTACTTAGCCTAGGACGTAGTTGGGTCACTGTCACTTTTGCTGAAAGAGTGCGTTTCATCTCGTCGGTGGCTGCCAAAATCCTCTGCCTCAAATCTTCGATATCTTCAACGGATGTATTGTACACTAGTTGTTTCATGTGACCCCGAATCTGAAAATCGCAAGACCGGCCACGGCGGTGGGCCTCCTCGACCGATCCATCTCTGCGGATAGTTTTCACCAGCCATTGTCGTACACCTCGAAAATAATGGGCTGGGCAGCCATCATGCTGGTATATCATATTGATTCTCCTAGCTAGCGGGACATGTTCTAGTAATGCATCAGCTTAATTTCTTAAAAAGTTTTCACAGTGGTGCCATTTAAATTGTCCGGCAAGAAAAAAGGTCCAATCAATTTATTATGTATAATTCCCACCCAAACGTTTAACGAGCATCTTCTCTGGTGCTTGCCTTCCTTGAATTGTTTTGGATTTTGAAGCTTAGGGGCCCAATAGTGGGCATTGTGGTAATTTGTAATACCATCACGATCGAATTTCGATTCATCAGTACAAAGGATATTTTTGAGGTAGTCTGGGTTTTCAATATAGGCATGAATTAAGAATCTACAAAAGTCAATCCTTCGTGCAGGGTTGCCCTCCTCCATAGCATGCAGTGGAGTGTAATTGTATGGATAAAGTTGCGCTGTATGAGCAATAAACCGGGATTTCCATTGGGATATGCCAAGTTGCCGTGCCACTTGTCTAGTTGACACAGTGGGGTCTGGTCGAAAACACTCTAAAGTTTCTTCTTCTTCGTCAGCATTATGGATGGCAGGTCTGCCAGCGTCTAGTTGTTGTCGATGAACCGAGCCAGATTCTCGAATGCGTCGGTAAGTAGTACCAAACACGCTTATATCAGATCAACGCCGCGCCGGTAGGGAAACGCCTTTGGTAATCCCTTCGTGCTGCAGCAGAGTCACCATTACAAAACCCGTAAGAATACATAATGTCGGCATATTCCTCATTTTCGTACGCAGCCATTACACATACAGACAATTTGCAGGAATGTTTAGCAAGATCACAACACGATACAACACGTCTGAATTCCAAAGATTGTTGGTACTAAGCGATAAACAAACTGTCGGTCATGACGCATCAGGAACCTCATTGGACACTCCGATGGGCACACCTGAATACTTACGGAGTTAAACGAGTCAGTTTGACACATAGAAATACGATGCATTTTATTCCGAGAAAGCTGTTTTGTGAAAATTGGATTTACGAAATCTACTACCTCTAATCGATGGCTGCTGTTTTTTTTTCAATTGCTTGAAATAGTTAATAAGATTTGTATGGTTTTGGAAAGCTCATGAAATTCTGCAATTATTTTAGTAACCTGTATGCCGAATATCATACATTTCATTTCAAATAACTTGATGATTTTCGGAAATAATAAACAAAAATCAAAATCTCTTCACTAACTAAAGATTTTCAAACTTCTGGTATAGCGTTCTTATCTCAATTATTTGCTAGTTTCACAGCTTTCAGAAAACCATCAATTCAGTTCCAAGAAATGAGTAGATATAAAAAAAATGTATTGATCAGTAAGCAGAAAATTCTTAAAAAATCTTGAAATGCCGATATCTCGGAAACTGCTCATTTCCGACCCCCAGTTGATGGGAATTAATTTATCACAAATAACCTCTAGAATCAGCACTTTCAGGGAATAGGTCGAATTTTCAAATAATATAAATAAGAATGTGTGAAAAAACGAGAATATCCCTTATAAGGTCTATGTTACTCTTTTATTGACGTAAACTAAAATAATTATTTATATTATGTATGAATATTTTAAGATCAAATTAATGCATGCAATGCATAAAAGAAACGTAAAAAATACAAATTCTTGTAAACACGAGAGACGTACTTATATATCTATTAAGTATTCTTGACCAATTGATTGAACCTACATTTTATCAGAACTTCTCATTAGGAACCCAACCAACATTGTCAATTGTCATATTGAACGTCCGCCATATTGGATTAGAATGACGACACTTTGCTTATTGTGTTTCGTCAGTCCCTTTCATTCGATATTCATAATATGGAAATTACTAATCGATATTTTGCTGCAACCTCCATATTGGATCTAAAATGACGTCACGTTGCTTACTGTATCTCTCATCCAACCACTTCAGATAACCATATCATAGGGGCAACTATAGAAATTATAAACGCCATCTTGCGGCGGTCGACATATTTGATTTGAAATGACGACACTTTGCAAATTGTGTTTCTCTCAAGCTCTCTCATCTGATGTCCATATTATAGGGGTGATTATGGAAAATATAAATTAACGCCAAATTGCTTCCCCCTGTATATTTAGAATGATGTCAGTTCTCTCATCAAGCTCTTTCATTTGATACACATATCATATAATTACTATGGAAATGATAAATCGCCGTTATGTAGCATACGCCATATTAGATTCAAAATCATTTTTGTCATAGTTATTCTTTTAAATTCTCTTAATTTCGTGGAGATTGAGCGGACAGCTCCTTCGAAAACGTTCATAAACTACAATATGTACAGCGTATCGAAGATAGTAAGAAAAGTGATGAATGCTTTCAATGAAAAGTGAGATGGATAAAAAAGTGAGTCGCCAGCATCCCTGTAATATTTAACATTGCCCTTTAATTACATAAATGGTTATAGGCCGGTGTGGTTTAACCAAGCAGGGGAAGTGGATCGCACCACCGTCTAACGTTACGAATTATACCTGCCTTCTCGGGGAGGCCGGCGACCAAAATTGTAAAGACCTTTATTGCTGATGTCCTCTCCACTACATATTGTTGGCAGCTTTTACGTGAAAGATGAAGAGCCACTAATGGGCCCATTGTATTCAGGCATTTCAAAGGGCCACTATCAAGGACGACTCGAATATGGGATTATGTATAGTGTATACACTGAAATCGAACGGAGGGTAAACCTTGTAGGAGCTTTGCTTAGAAAATGTAAATGTGCATGCGATATTATAGGTTATTGACAGAGATGGATTCAGCGAAAACTTGCCACTTATGCTCAAAAATGATTGATAAAAAATACATTCATTCCTTCACTTAAATGTTAAAATAATTTCTAAACACGGCCTTTGAACGAGATGATGCAGCACTGCAATTATTTAAAGTTTCACAATGAAAATGCAAAAGATGAATTGCGAGATGTTTCACTTTGTACAACAGAGTTGAGCGGTCTTTATTTCTAGTTTTTTTCCACTGACGAGGTGATGCTGCTTCCGTGACCTCGTCACTCGGCTTGCTAGGCAACGAGGTACTTCTATCTCTTTCTGACATACAATACAAGCTTCTCTCTCGTACACATTATGACGACAGTGGCATATGGATTTCTCTGTATGCAGGGAAAACCAAATTTGTCTGACTGCTGGAGTTCAATGTGTACCATAGCAAAGCGCGAGAAGTATCAACACATGTTAGAACGAGATAGAAGCCGGCTCAAGAGCAGGTCATCACCACATTGCCTAGCAACGGTAAAGCAGAAGGGCGCGCAATCTGCCGCGTTGCCAACAGTCACATCAGAAAATGTTCGCACAGGATTTTACAATAGGTTCGGTCACCGTACAAACCCAAGAACTAGACCTGTTCGAACAGTTAATTTAATATCTTGTTTTCATTTGGATTAGAATTAATTATTCCAATTTTGATGCAACTTAGTGTTTTAATTTATTTTAGAATTATCTTTGATTTCCACTGATGGTGATAAAATCAACACATCCTAACTTATTGTTACATTTTGCGACAGCGCTGCAGTCGGAAAATGTGACAAATAACGTTACGGAACGATTTCGAAGCAGGACGACACTCCCCAATGAGCGCCACATCGGTACTGAACAAAATCGCTCATCTATGATCATGGGAGTGGACACATTGCCTTGGAATGTACGAGATGCAGTGTTGCCAAGTGAACCAATGATGTACTGTTGCAGAATTTGTGGCGAACCAGACCTTTCATTTTGACGTAAAATGGAGCGCCGTTATGACTGATCAGGAACAGATCCTAAACAGATTCGACACAATTTAAAAAATGTGCACGCTCAAAATAAAACCATTGTTTGGGCGTAGGTAATAAACTAACGCATATTTTTAACATACATCTTAATTCAAGGAACTGAGGGAACACTTTGGCAACGCGGCATATTGCCGCGTCATCGATGCTAGGCAACGCGGTGATGAGCATCGCTATCCAGCCGGCTTCTATCTCTTTCTAGTATATGTGTCTATACACACTTCTCTTTACACATTGAACTCAAGCCGTTAGACAGATTTGGTTCTCAGTGTATATGGTTTTGATTTCAGACAGACAAGGGAGTCCGCGAAGTCAATGATTAGATATACAATTTGAGCAAGTCATAAAGTATTCCAAGACTTTTAGAGAATGAAATAATTTTATTGGTATCTTGTGAAATATCGCCATATGCAACTTTGAACACATGCTGTTTTGTCACTCCACACCACCCTGCGATATTTGTGCCCAATTTGGTTGATCCAGACATACTTTCTCTGGTGCATGAGGTCTTGGACTAATAAAGGTATCCTCTTTGCAGACTGTAGATGATATTACTCCTCGAAAGTCCTTCGTCATACAATTGAGTAGGAATGACTATTCATTTTTTACTCATAAAAATAATTTGTATTAATCGTATCTCCGTTGATAAGTTGATGTAGCTAATTGATATCTTGAATACATTAAGTTAAACGTTAAACCACAGAAAACAGAATCTTTCGCAAATAAAACTACAAGCATTTTGGTCAATATTTCAATATGGCT